CTCAGGTTTTAGATTGGGGGGGCAACCTGCTATTTACATAAGTGATTCTGAACCTTCTCCTTCCTGGATTTGATCTCATTTTGTATTCTTTTACCTATTAAAGCCTGTCTTTCCAACCTATCTACAAATACTGATAGAGTTGCCCTTATTACTCTCTGGTTTCCTCTGCTTTCCTCCTTCATTCTACTTTCTGTTGTATTCACTGAGGCCTCTCTGTCACTGTTCCTGGAATCCTGGTTCTTTCTCTCTCTCTCTCTCTCTCTCTCTCTCTCTCTCTCTCTCTCTCTCTCTCTCGTCCTTTAGTATCCTCTGTAGAGGTGGATTGGTGGTTGCAAATTCTGTCAGTTCCTCTTTGTCTTGAAAGCATCTTGTTTCTCCATTAATTTCTAGAGACAGTTTTTCAGGGTACATCAACCTGGGCTGGAGGTTATTTTCTTTCAGGGCTTGGGATTTTTCACTCCAAGCTCTTCTTTATTTGATGGTCTATGTCGAGAACTCTGCTATGATTTTGATGGGTTTTCCTTTATAGGTGATGTGTTTCTTTTCTCTGATGGCTTTTAATATTCTGTTCTTCTGTTGAATTTCTGGGATCTTGATTATTATATGTGTAGCTCTGTTTTGGTTGTAAGTGACTGGAGTTCTGCATGCCTCATACATCTGAATCTCATCTCCTTTTCGTATCTTGGGAAGTTTTCTTTAATTATTTCTGTGAATTAACTTTGTAGTTCCTTTGTTTGTGCCCCTGCTACTTCATACACATTCCTTATTCTCAAGTTATAGATCCTCTTGTTCTCTTCTAGCTTTTGTATTCTTACCACCTGTTTCCTGGTTACTTTTAAGAAAATTTTCCTTTCATGATCACACATTGCAAATCTGTCTTCCAGTTGGATAATCTATCCTTAGTTTCTTTAAAGCAGATTTTCCAGGTCTCAATGAAGTTTTTAATTTCCAAAAGCAATCTTTCAATAAATATGATGAAAATTACTTGATATTCATACAGAAAACATGGACTTTACTGCTTAACACAGTGCAAAAGTTAAAGTGAATGTGTCAAAGAAAAAATGAAATCCAGTTAAACATGCACATGCAATTTACTACCACTTGAAGACATAGATCATAAATGGCAAAAACTAACACAAGTGGCAAGAAGCTCACATTGCACTAGTTGTAGCGTGGTTCAAAAAACAAAATGCAGAAAATGTTTTGATCCTTTTCCTGGTTTTTTCTACTTAGGTAAATTTCCAGATGAAATGAATAGGATACATCTGAGAGTTAACTGCTTTACTATGCTTCTGGGATTTGCTGTCCTAGGGATTCAGCATTCTCTGTGGGTCTTTCTTTCCTCATGCAGCTCAGGGAAGCCTACTTTACTTAGCTCATTGAAATGCTTGAAACTATAAATTCCTGAAGTTCATAATTTGTTTGTTATATCTCCTTTGAGAACACATCATCTTCTAAAGCTAAAGCTACTTTCTCAAAATGTTCTGGGTGTGCCCAGGAGGAAACTCCTACTGCAAACATATCAGACTGAAAGTGTCTGTTCATAACAAGCACAGTAAGTTCTAAGATTTTGTCAAAGTTGTATTGGCTAAATCTCACAGTCAGAGTGCTACTTCATTCTAAAGTTAGTATTACATTGGAAAAATCTACAGAAGAGAATCACTCTTTCTCTGCTAAAACAAGATACAGATAACTTAAAGATTTTGCCAAAGATGTTAAAGGTAAAGTCTAAAAATACTAGTCTCATGTGGTAATTAAGAAGATACTTTTCTTTTAATAAAACATCCATATTAGCTATCATATTATTATGCTAACTGCTTTTTAGAAATAGAAAAACACGTTTCTAATTCATGTTAGAATCTAATAGTTAAAATAGCAAAAACAGTTCTTTTTCTGTAAGCTGAAACTTACTTTCTCCTAATTATCCATATGCTATAATTTGAAATACCAATGGAGGAAAAATATTTAAAAAATAGAGAAAACTAAGCATAAAATGGTCATATGATTCAGTAAACTCATTTCTGGGTATTTACAAAAAGTTTTGAAATTAGTATATCAGAGAGATATCCAAGCACTGGTGTTCATTGTAACATTGTTTATAATAGTCAGCTTCTGAAATCAACCTAAAGATCCATCACCAGATGAATGGACAAAGAAACTGTGAAGCCTACACACACATACAAACATGCACACACACACACACACACACACACACACACACACACACAACACACACACGCAGAGCAAGAGACATGCACACTGAGATGTTATTTAGCCTTAAAAAGCAAAGAATACCTACATTTTATGATAACGTGAGTGAAACTAAACACAGAAAGATAAATATTATACGATATTACATATATGTGGAATCTAAAATAATTGAAGCATAGACACAGAGTAGAATCATGGTTATAAGAGTGAGGAAAATTGGAAAAATGAACAGGTTATAATCCAAAGAAATAAAGCCTAAGAAAGGTAACAGCAATAACTCAAAGCTTGATAAGATAAATCACATAGAATCCTGAATATAGTCAATAACTGAGAGCTGTACATTTATATATCACTAAGAAAATACATTTCTAATACCCTAATCACAAAGTGTTAAATATTTGGTGTGCTGGGTAAATTAATTAATTAAATTTAATTATTCGACCCCATTTTCAAAACCTATAGTATCAGTTTATACCATGCATACTGTATATACAAATATTATTTGCCAAAATAAGGTAAGCAAATAAAAAATATAGCTTAAGAAGAAAGAACAGGGCAACATCAATGACAAAGGCTATCAGTATTATGCAGTAAAATAATAAACTGAGATTTCATAGAAACACCAGGCCAAATACTACCAAATGACTTGCATGGTTTCAAGCTCCTAAGAGGAAGATATTTCACTCGACTTTTGGAACTCTCATCTAAGAACCCAGAGTGACTCTAACTTTATCTCCAAGCCTGTTTATGACTTTAATTTAATAAAGTATGTTATGGCTAAGTTTAGATAATTTCATGCTTTCCTTCATAAACAAAAATTGATTTATTCCATCAAAGAGTTATCTGTTTATTCAAACATGGGTATTGTAAGAAGTATTGGAAATGCAATGCATTTAGCTGTAAAGTATTGTTGGTGTTCCACAGGAAGATTTTATTTTCTTTCTGCTGTTCCTATATTTAATGTAAGATAAAAAATTGTAAGTGTTATAATTCAATTGCTTATATGCATCATTTAAGAACTGAGATATGATTTTTCATTTTGCATTCACTCCTGAATTCAAATGGCTATTCTGCCATGATGTTAAAATTTTGAGTGGAAAGTCTTGCAAAGTCAATAACTTCCATAAAAAGTAAATATTCAGAATATAATGAGATATTCTGTGCATTTTTAGTACAGAATACAATGGAATTAAAACCAAAAGAACATACTTAGTTGGGCTAGAATCATAACCATGAATTAACAATTCAGAGACTGGGACTTTATTCAAATCAAAGTATTTAGATGAAACTTATTCTAAACAAGGCAAACTAGTTTTAGAAAGAGCACACCATGAACAAAAAGCAAAAGTATGAAGAACTGAAAAATGAACACCAGCACAGAGAAACAGCTTGCCAAAGCAGTAGTACTGAACAGAAGGTGTACAAATGAGTGAAATTACTAAGATAAGGAAAAGGGTTGTCTGTGGACAGGGAAAACTGACTTGATAGTTCTAGGTTTAGCTGGTAGGACTACTATAGTGATTAAAAAAATACATGAAAGCAGTTGAATATAAGTAAAGATATTGAGTCTAATTTTAAACATGACAATGGGCATTCCATGAAAATTCTTTCAATATTATGGATAGTAAATTCTTATGTACTAAATAGAATAATATTTCTGTTCAGTGACCATAGAGTTTCAGTTATACGGGGTAAATTCTACAGATGTGCTATATACTATTGTACATGCTACTGCAAATACTATCCTGTGCAGGTACAAATTTTGTAGAGAGTAGATATCATGTTAAGTATGCATACCACACTAATCTTAAAAGCATCTTATTACTTACTCCTAAATCCTGTCTTTGTAGGTCCTCTAGGATTCAACTAGGGAAAAAAATCAAAAGATGTCTGCATGGCATGATCCCTTAGATTGAAAAATTCAACCACATTGCTTAAATTCTTATTAAGATATTCTTTCACATACTTCTTCAATGTGTACATTTACTAGAATATCAAAGAAAATACGTTTATCCTTCAATTTGCAGTATAGTTTATTTTTGGAAATCTTTCAAACTTCATGATAAAACAAACTGGCAATCTATCTAAAACCTTAATGGACATGGATTTCAACTTATAAAAAAGATTTATGTATGCATTTCAATTTCTCACAATTCTGAAGTTAAAGCATCTAATCCTTTCTAGTTACTGTGTCAACCATCATTGAGAAAAATACAAAGAAACCTTGTATATCCACTTGATTGCAGAAAATTTCTGAAAAGATAAAGAAAGCATTGGAAACAGGCCAAACATATTCATGTCATAGTTCAAACCTGGTATAACTGCAGATAATAAAAATAATGATTTGATATTTATGCTAAATTCTCCTGGTTTGTCAACAATGTTGAGTATGATCCATTCTCTCCCTTCTCTCTCCATCCCTGTTCCTGTCCCAACTTTCTGCTGTCCCTTTCCCTCTCTCGTGCTCCTCTTCTTCTTCTACACTCCTCTTCTCCCTCTGTTTTATTGGCTACATACCGGGGATCAACTCTAGGAACCTGGTACATGCCAGATAAAGCTGTACCACTAAGTTTCATCCCCGAAGAGACAATTGTGACTTTACTTTTACCTTCTGCTTGTTACTACTCTAGAATGACCTAACCCATATTTAAAAACTATAGGGTACAGGATAAAGAATCCATTTTATTGTACCTTCAAAATGTACTATCTAAAGACACTTTTTAAATAATGTTTCATGAAGATTATACTCAGATAAACATCTTTGAAAACATTTTTCCTCATGTGAAAATATGCCTGCGTCTCTGAAAGTTTCCAATAGCTCAAAATCTCAGGTGTCTGAGTTCATTCTGCTGGGATTCCCAGGCATCCACAGCTGGCAGCACTGGCTTTCTGTTCCACTGGCTCTGCTCTATCTCTCAGCAATTGGTGCGAATATCCTCATCCTCATCACCATCTTCCAGGACCCTTCTCTGAAGCAGCCAATGTACCTTTTCCTGGGTATCCTTTCTGTAGTGGACATGGGGCTGGCCACTACCATCATGCCAAAGATCCTGGCCATTTTCTGGTTCAATGCCAAGGTCATTAGTCTCCTTGAGTGTTTTGCTCAGATTTATACCATTCACTGTTTTGTTGGAATGGAATCTGGTATCTTCCTCTGCATGGCTTTTGACAGATATGTAGCTATTTGTCACCCTCTTCGCTATGCATCAATTGTATCCAACTCCTTCATCTTAAAAGCCACCTTGTTTATGGTGCTTAGAAATGGTTTGCTTGTCATTCCAGTGCCTGTGCTTGCAGCCCAGCGTAATTATTGTTCCAGGAATGAAATTGAACATTGCTTGTGTTCTAACCTTGGGGTCACCAGCCTGGCCTGTGATGATAGGAGAGCAAATAGCATTTGCCAATTGGTTTTGGCATGGGTTGGAATGGGGAGTGATCTGGGTCTTATTATGTTGTCATATGCCTTGATTCTGCGCTCTGTACTTAGATTGAACTCGCCTGAAGCTGCATCCAAGGCTCTGAGCACTTGTAGCTCCCATCTTATCCTCATTCTCTTCTTCTACACAGTTGTAGTAGTGATTTCAATAACCCACCTCTCAGAGACAAAGGCTGCATTGATTCCAGTTCTGCTCAATGTACTGCACAACGTCATCCCTCCTTCCCTCAATCCTATGGTTTATGCACTTAGGACCAAAGAGCTTCGGGAAGCTTTCTGGAGGTTGTTTTGCTTGGGTTTTCAAAAGAAACCTTCAACACGAGGCACATGAAATTGAAACGTTTTCATGCCATGTAGAATTCCACAAAGAGGGAAAAGTGAACACCTTTGATTTTGCTTTTTTATATATTGTATATAGACAAGAGATAAAGTTTTCAAAATGAAGGGAAAAAAGTACTGAAATCTTCACTGATACTACAAAATTGCCACGAATTAAATATACAAATAGTTGCAAGCATATGGAAGGATCATGTAGCAACTCAAGCAAGTGGGATGAAAAATAGCTTTGATTATCCATTGATACTTCCATCTTTCTGTTACATGAGGGAAAACGAGTTAAGGTTTTCTAATATTAGTCTCTAGGTACCTAAAATCCATTTTTGTGTTATTAAACTTACTTACTACTCAAGAGCAACTTAATAGTAAATTGATTAAATTTTCTTCAAAATTCTACTTGAGTATTTCTTGAGTCCCTGACTGACTAGTTTGCTTCTGCTGTCAATCTCCATCACCGCTGTAAGTCTACCTCTGTTACTACTAGCACAGCCTGCAGTGGTGCAAGCAGCTTGAGCAGTTCAGAGTCTGTTTAGAGGAACAGAGACTAAGATGTCTATATTTAAAGGTAGCACAACAGTACAAAGCATAGCTTATTTTTTCTGTTAAAGCTATTGCTCTGTCTTTTTTAAAGACATTTTAAAAAAAACACAGAACAGAACAAATGCAAGTGACACACGACTTCAAAACAAGACAACAGGAAATCAATGTAGATACCATAATGTCTACTGCTTTCTTCAAAATAGTTGTCCATGCCTTCACACACAATAAATTGTTCTGTTTTATAACATGCTTTGAACAAGCCTTAAAATATTTGAGACATTAATGGGATATTGTCACTAGTTCTCACTGGTGAAGTTTGCTTGTGATTAGGACAACCTGAAGAAGAGACACAGAATCATGGAAATGTTTGAATGTGTCTTTATTTTCCATTGCTTGGCTCAGTCACATGGACTCCTGTGGCAGTCCCCAGGCTCCTGGCCTGTTCATTTTGTAGCAGGCCTGGACTGCTTAGTCTTCCTCCAGATCTCATGGTACTCTAAATTCATATCTAAATATATAATAGTGACTGTATACCAGAATATGTATTAATTCAGAATGAAAAAGGAACACACTATAGAGGCTGATAACTGGCAGATAGGACAGAATCCTGAAAAAATTATGTAACATTTAATACAATTTGCTATCTGATAAATTACTTCAAATATAGGTTAAAATAACTTTTATTGTGATATAATTTCAGATTTACAGAAATGTAACAACTGTAGAATAAGAAATTCTGTATATTCTTTATAGAGATTCATGGAATATTTGCATTTTGGGCCAGTAATTACATGATTGTCTCTCTCTTTTGATATGTATCTATGTATATTCATTTGTGAAATTTTTTTCAACTATTTGAAAATACATCATGGACATGATGTCTGTTCACACTTAAATACTTCAAGTGTAATTTTCTAAGAAAAAGTAATATCAATTATATTACTGTCTTATAGTCAGCAAAATTAAAGAAATTGCACTGCCTATTTACAATAATCTAATCTATACTGTATTTTTAAGTGTCTAAAAATATCTGTAATATCCTTTGTTGGAAATGTTTCCAGGTTTCAGATTCATTTATTTAATGTGTTTATCATGTCTTAATATACAATGTAGTATTTATAATACTCCTTTGATCTTGTTTTTATCAGCTTAATTAAAGTTAGACTTACAGTTGTAACCTACATATATTTAAGGTGTAAAATGTGCTGTTTTCTACCACCAAAATTGTGCCAAATATCATATCTATCCCCTAAACAGAGTATTCAATTTCCTCCAAAATATGTCAATCATTATTAAACCAAATCACATTCTTTTAACGAAGACACATATGCAATATCATCAAGTTCCCACAAAAGAAATAATATAAGCAACTACTTTCACAGTGTATTGTGACTAGTAATAAAAAATTTCTAAATAGCATCCTTGGTAAATATACAATAGTATTGTTAAATGACAATTAGCCATTTTTAAAAGGTCAAATAAGTAATGGCATGAGATAAGGGAGATTCTAGTACATAATTAAGAATTTATTTTGAGGAGATATTCAGGTCAAAAATGTCAAGCAAGTTTAACACCCATTGGAAAGGTTGACATTGACTGTGTCATTTTGATTGGCTTTAGAAATGTCCAGAGCATTAGCCCAGCATATCGCTATACGTGTCTGGGTGGTCCATGGAAGCATGACCTTATGTGCTGTATATGACTGTTTCCTTTCTGGTTGGCAGCATTTCCCTGCTCTGCCTCTTGGCCTCCATGAGGTGAACTTCTTTGTTCCACCACATCTCTCTGTCATGTTATTTTTCTCTTGGAGCCAGAGAAAGGAAAGTCAGTCCATGCACTGAATCTCCTGAATGAACAGATTAGTTTCTCTACTGTCCCAGAGAAATGAAAATTGACTCATACAGAAAATTGGTAGGAGAGAACAGTGTTTGTTGTTTTGAGTGTACCTGACCACATGATTCAGAAAAATTTAGAATTGGTTTGTAGAAGCATGTTAAACAAGTTAGAGAATCAGAGTGAATAAAGCCCACAAGGTTGTAAGTAGAGTTTAATAAATCAATCTTGTCACATGTTAGAGGATCAGAATATTGATAATAATGTGGATTTTACTTAAGAATGAGGATTCTTTTGAAAATTGGACCAGAGGATACACATGTTACACACTGGAGAAAAATGGTTGTAAATTTTATATAATTTTAAATTAATTTATTTCTGTTAAAGAAGCAGGCAAGAAAATTTTAAAATTTCAAATTTTTCTCAGTAAAAAACTAAAAGTAGAAGATGCCAAGCAAGATGTTTGCTGAAGAGATTAATGTTATTAAAAAATAACTAAGTATCCTCATGTATAGAGAAGAAAGATGCTAGGTAGGCATCTTAGAAAATAGGAATAACCTAAACACTGGGAGCAGGGCAAGTATGCAGAGCATACTTCATTTCCCTATTACACTTGCTCCAGCAGGGTCTCCTACAGATTTGGTTTTCAATGGTCCAATTTGCTCTTCTCAGTCAGTCAGGCACTCAGAAGCCACTGCAACTAAGGACCAAGGTGGCCTGACTGCTGCTGCTCCTGGCAGTAGACCATCACGTCATCCATGTATGGAGGGATCGGAAGTCTTCAACCCAGATATCAAAGGAAGTCCTGGGCAAAGGAGGCCTGGGAGATCAGGCCAAAATCCTCTGAAACAGTGGTTGTGATGTGTACATGACAATGAAGTCACAAGTGGATAGAGACCCCAGAAAGTTAGGTATGCCAAAAATGTGGAAATTTGCTAAGGAAAGGTGCAAGCAATGAATGGAACAAGCCCAAAAGTGAAGTTGTGCAGAATGCATCCATCAGGGTCGTCGAGGTGGATTTTCTTAGCCCTCTAGAATTGACATCACAGTACCCTGTGTTTACTGGATTGAAAGCTTGCTCTGCTGGATTAAGAGCTTCCTTTTGCAAAGAGAATGTTTACCTTGTGTCATTATATCGTAAGACTGTGTTACTTGTCTTTTGTTTCTTTTATAGTCGTTCACAATTTGGAGTGCCTAGAGTCTCACAGGGAACTTTTGATTTGTACAGTGAATCACTGAAATTACTGGAAGTAATTACTGTGTTTCAATTGGATGCAGGATGTTTTTATCATGTTAAGTGGAATTATGAATTTATTATTGTATTTGGAGACTAAATAGTGGGGCTGGGGATTTAGCTCAGCGGCATAAGCGCCTGCCTTGCAAGCAGGCAGTCGTGAGTTCGATCCCTGGTACCAATAAAAAAGAAAATGACCAAAAAAAAAAAAAAAAAAAAAAGAGTGGAGACTAAATATTATTGTTTTTTTCTTTTTGAGACAGGATTTCACCAACAACTGTGAGTAGTGACTACATACTTACTATGTAGCTGAAGATGGCTTCTAATTAGCGGTTAATCTTCTGCCTTAGCTCCTAAATGCTAGGATTACAGCACCATGCCCAGCTCTACACATTGCTTTAGACAGACATATTTGAGCAACTATTCAACAAGAGGTGGAATGTGATGGCCAACTTTAATTGTGTCAATGTGATTGGCTTAATAAATACCAACAAGATTCACAAAGCACACTCTCTTTATGTCTGAATACATGGAGGCGTGACTTTTGGTGCTATGTATGATCCTGGCCTCTAGCTTTATGTTGCCTCCCCCTGCTTTGTTTTGTGGCCAGCACAGACTGATTATCTTTGTTTTGTCACACCCTTCTGTCAGGGTATTTCTCTTTTGGAATTAGCAGACTGTAACCTGAATCTGCTGAAGATGCATTGCAAATTTGACCCCTCCTTATTTAGATTGTAGGTGTCAGGCATTATGTACCAGAATTGGACATATACAGCAGTGCTTATTTAGAATAACACTTCCTTTAAAAGAATTTCTTTATATACCAGTAGGGTATGATTAAGGAAGTTATACACATCTGCCATGTATTTTAATCCAGTAGCAATAATTCTGTTAAGTTAGGATAAAAATTATTTCTCAAAATGCTTGGGTATTCATAGGAAGAACTTTGGGAGGTGATTTATTACTGTTTACTTTTTCCTTTGAAAGTATGTAGTATTTCTATCCATTGTCTGTTTTGTTTTTAAAAAACTGTCTATTTAGGCAAAAATTAATAAAGTCCTTCTGGAAGCATTCCTGTAGCACACACCAAAATAATGGAACTTTTTGATTGCTGTGTTCCTAATACATGTGTCAAGAATTCAACATCACCAGCATGCCCTCCAAATTTACTGTGCGTTTCTCAGCTTCCTCTGTAAAAATCTAATCTAATAAAGTACACCAAATGCCCTTTAACAAAACCTAATGATTAGCTCTGTTTGTCCAAGAAAAGCTGCCAGAATCAACCTTTTCAGAAATTTTGATACTAATCAAAAGCTTTTAGGAATTAGGGGAATCCTGAATCAAAGCAAAAATATCTCCAATCTCTTGAGAAAAGATTTTAGCAGTAT